TCCTCGGCTGTCCAAAACAACTCTCCCAGCAGGTTTACTTGAAGAAAAACTGATTATTGGCAATGTTACAGAGCAGTTAGGCAGATGCTTGTTCTCAGGGCCACTTCTTAATGAAACATTTTCCTGGACGGTACGTTTTAAATGTAAAAAAAAGACTCCACGGTGCTGTCCCTTTGCTCCACAGGGCGCCGCAGGTCCACCCGGGAGCCTCGGGGAGCAGGGCCTGACCGGTCAGCGGGTGAGTGCCAGTCCTCAGCTGACTCTGGGCCAGTGACTAGAAGGGATATTTCTTTTTTAATGGGGTTTTGTGGAAGATTTATGAGTGGTCAGTGTCTCAGAGCGCTCTCAGTTCGGAGGGGCGACAGAAGGGTGAATTGAAGTGAGTCCGTACGGATCAAAAAGGTCAAATGCTTCAATTTTGCAGATCTTTGAACCAAGGCTACATTGTGGATTTGAATTCCAACCCAATTTTTTATGTGCTAAATAAATTCCGATTTAAAAAGTAAAAGGTATGGAAGAAAATCTCCCTTTTAAATCAAGTTGAAAATGAATCAGTGAAGAGAAATTAATTTTATATTACCACAGAGTCTTTTAGTTGTTTTTTTTTCTTCTTCTGAGTATGGCCTTAGTTTTTCACCATTTTCTTTCCATGGAACTGAAGACCACCAAAGTCCACCCTTTTTGTCATAATACATACATTTGAATTGGGTGAGGGAAGGCAAAGGAGTTGATTTATTCTTGTGTAATGCTGTGTAGTCCGTCCATATTTTCCGGATTTTTCTTTCAGGGCGAGCCAGGCCTTGACGGGGAATCTGGACCGAGTGGACCCGACGGAGCCAAGGCAAGTTTGAGAATGAACAGCCGCCCTGCTTTCAGCCCAGATTAATTTCCCCTTTGGGAATGCTAATCTGCGAACCTGATGAACTCCTCAGTTTGCTGCGGCGGCTTATTAACACCACAGCAAAGTATTTATTAGTCAGATTCCGGCTGGCGTGCGTTTCGAGACGCGTTTTTTTTGGCTCTTCGAGGAATAAGATGGCGGGGCTATTTCAGGAGCTACACTGTCTGGCAGGTGCTGTGACAGGGGAAGAAGAACGAGCGCAAAAAGCCCTCGTAGCAGAGCCAAAACTGCTGTGAGGAACTGTGAGGAACAGCCTTTGGCTTCAAAGAGGTGGTCAAATGTGAGCAAAGAGAAAGGAGGAGACTCAGAACCTAAAAGTCTGTTCAGCTTCATGCTGTACGAGACGTTTGCTGTTATTTAGGGGAAACAAAGCGATGTGTGAGAGGTTCCTAGTCTCAGAGGAAAACCTGGGAATGATTTACAGGTTTCTCTCTTGGATTAGAAGTCGGCCCAACAGTCAAAGATTAATTCCTGTATGAAATTGTGGAAAAAAAAACTTCAAATGGAATCAGAAAAAGGAGTTTCTTGTAAACAAATTCAGGAAATCCCCCACAAACACACAGACCAACCCCAGAATTTTTGGATTTGGCCGGATTAGCCCAAAAGGTGAACCTGAATCCTGTAATTGGGTCAAGCTGTTGCGTTTGATTGCCGTTTTCCGTCTCTCCTCGAACCCAATTCCCAAGTTTTCGTTTCCACATGTTGCGAGAAGACTCGCCTTGGCCGTGCTATGGCCGGATTTCCAATTTACAGATCAGAGCGGCTTAAAAAAAAGCTGTGGGGCGCAAAGCATCTTGATCTCAGAGTTTGAATGCAGAACTTTCAATGTTCTGATGTCTTATTTTCCTCCGTTAGAAAAAGCATGGCTTCCACAATTCTTGTTTGTTTTTGCTGATTACTAAATGCAGCACCTTGTCAAAAGTCTGTATCACGATTTTTATTTTAGTTTAGATAGATATAGATAAAAATACTTGAAGATAGGTCACGGTCGTCAGAAAGCCCAAAATGCAGGAGCCAACAAGTTCATTCAGAGTAGGACAGATCTAAAAGTTTATTCACAAAAAATGCACAAAAAAAATCAAGAAAGAAAAAACGCACAGCAAAGTCTTGATTCGAGAGACAAGAAAAAACAAAAGACTGAAAAGGAGAAAGGAGAACAGGGACCCTAAATATTGAGATGGATAAGGGACTTGATCAGACTGGAGAGACGCAACGTCAATTTTGAGTGATAATGAGAAAAGAAGAACAAAACAGAAAGTGGCATCACATGATAAAAGGACCCAATTAAAAACTGAGACCAAACTAGAGTGAACTAAACTAAATTGACTAATCGACAAATGCACACTGTAATGTAGCATTCATGGAAAAGGAATTTTTTGTGTTTTGAGGCAAGCTTTGGTTCTGAATTAGGATTTCTGAACTCTCGTTGTGGACTTTCCTGGTACTTTTGTCGTCTCCTGCAGAGGTTTTCAAAGTGTGAGGCGAGCCTCCCCGGGGGGGGGGGGGGGGGTCCAAACGGGGTCAGGGGGGCTCAGAGAACACAGGCGGGGGGATATTACATTAGCAATAATGAGAAAAAGCTAAACGGTGGGGATGTGGCTGGTGAGTGGATTGTTCTCCCCCCCAAAAAAACAGCTCACTACAAAATACCTGAGTCCACATCGTTTTTTTGCATTTAGTCTAATCCGGATTTGTCAAGAAATGTGTCACACGTCGACTTTTACAAGTGTGTGTGGGATTAAAAAAAGAATACATTGATTTCCAGGCGGCATCCAGGAACTCGGTAAAAAAAAAAAAAAAAAAGGAAAGAGGCCAGTGTGATGTCTGTTTTCCAAACTTTTTCTGACGGGAGGCTTACTGTGTCAGACTTTAAAAAGCCCCTGCTGATGAGTTTTTTCTAATGCGTTTCGTTGTTTTAGTTGGTGTAATGTTCTTTTTTAGCCCCCATCTGTGTTGTTCTTAATTTCTATCTACATGCTCTCCTTTCATTAGCGGCTGATTGTGTTTTTGATGACTTCACACGGACCGAGCGTCTCTCTCATCAGCCGTCAGGCCGCGTGACGCATCGGTTTCCTTCAAAAACTGACAATTACTCTCAGTGAAATTTTTATCAGGACATGCCGCGGCCTACTTTCCTCCGACGTGCGATGCTCTGGGAGCATAAACACCTTGAACAACGTGTCAAGTCGCATTCTTACGGACCGCCTTAGGAATAGCTGCGATTCTCCGCCGACTGGGTCTTGAGTAATAAATAAGTCATGCTTTTATGCCATTCCGGCTCAGCTACTGTAACTGTTTACATGCCTGAGCTGTCACTGTGGAAACTTCGGCGAGGAGTCAGAAAAAGCCGCAGCAGGGCTCTGCCGTGGCTCCTCTGTCTCGGGTTCTTTAAAGCGGCCTGTGAATAATAGATAAAGCTGGAGGCTGTGTTGGCAACTCGCAACCGTTCCCTGGAATGAAAACCCACCGAGTCACGGGAAAACGCGGGAAGACCTCTGAGTGGACGGGTTTCTGTGCTTTGTCTCCGGCAGATGACCGGACGCTAGGTTCTGCACGCCTTCGGTCGTGTACGAGGTCAAATTCGGCATCTGATGTAATGCAGTGGCAGTAGTGCTCCGTCTGCATCAATTCACCCCTCAATAACTATTTTATGCTTATAAAAATAATCTTTTTATGTCGAAATAATGTATAAAGATCAGGGGTGCACAAGTCTTCTACTACTGGACCTACAACTGCGCCCCCCATCAATAATAACCTCATAAACTCGTAATATTATTTAAGAAAAAAAGCAACATTTTTCTTGAAAAGTCCGTCTTGAAAATGGCCTTGACAGTAAATCTGCCAACCAAATCCATTTCTTCTCCTCCCTCAGCCATTGTTGGGTGATAAAAATTGCTATTACACCAATATAACTATATTTTCGGTTAGTTTTCTAGCTATTTGACTATCAGCGGGTGTAAACACGGTGACGTCACCTTACGCCTGCTAGAAGGCCCTGGCATCACCAACTTAAAATCTGATTGGTTACAGCAACAGTTTAATCGAAATTTATTTTCTATTCTGCCCGCAGAACGTTTTTTGTGAACGCCTCCTGGCATCTTTGACTTTGACCCTGCCTAGCAACAAATGATGGCTGAAATGTGATTGGTTAAATGCTTTTATATGAAAATACATGTCTGGAAGCAGCGCAACCAGGGGAAAAGCTATGAAAGGAAGCGGACAGACCATTTGGAAATATTTAATAAGTATTCATGGACAAAATATCATTAACATCAGTCTGTGGTTCAGATATTTTCTTAGGCCAGCAGACCCTGATGGCCCACCACTGATGTAATTTGAAGAAAGAAGGTTTAAAACGACAGGCTTTTTCATTAGCCCTGCGCTGTCGTTCCCAGGGCGAAAAGGGGGAGGCCGGTCCAGAGGGCGCCGGGGGGGACAGAGGTGGAATTGGCCTGAAAGGACAGGAAGGACCGGTGGGGCCTCCGGGGCTTTTGGGGGTCAGGGTGAGTGTCCGAGCGGCCGACCTGTAATTTCTTTCACTTCTAACAGAGATCGCTCTTTTGTCCACTTAACGCTCCCTCTGACTGGCTCTTTTCCAGGGTCAGGAAGGTAAACCAGGCAAAATTGGAGAGCGAGGCAAGCCGGGAGAAAAGGTTGGTCAGCTCACTTTACCCGGAGCCGAGCACACCTTTCATTTCGGGCCGTCTGTTAGTTCACTGCCAAATCTTTTTTCTTTTCTTTTTTTTTTTGCTGAGGGGGGTTGGTAACAGCGTTTTTTAGTCGCTTTTCACGTCGAGTTTTAGCGTCCAGCGTTTGAATTGTCAGACCGCGTCCACATCCGTGCGGCCGTGTTTGCTCACGCCGGCTGACCGGTGGCTTCTCTCCAGGGGGTCAAAGGTCAGCGAGGCCACGCGGGTGAACCGGGGCCTGCCGGTGATCGGGGAGAGCCGGGCTTTGTCGGACCAAAGGGAACAAGAGGAACCATTGGGCCCGTGGTAGGTTTCCGTTATAGAGGGGGAACCTTTTGATTCATTTGTGTCGGCTGGTTCGTGATTTTTTTTTTTTAATGTATGTATTTTCCCAGGGTGCTCCTGGAAAAATGGGCCAGGAAGGGGATCCAGGCATAGCAGGTTACCAGGTAACCCCCCCATCACACCTGTAACTCAGCTTCTTCGCATTAGATCTCAAAATCGTATCAGTCTACGACTACACGACTTCATCTTTCACAAAATAAAAACAGACTTATCGTTTGAATCATAAAGAAGGAAAAAAGTCTGAGTAGACATTCCTTTGTATTCATTTGTATTCAACAATTACAAATGCGCTAGTTTAGCGTAATGAATTGAAGTGTATTAGCGTATTAGCATTTCTTTTCCCTCCGTAACAATCTCTAGAGAAAAAAACCCAAGCTGTCCTGTATTCAGATATATCTGTTTCAGATAGCAAGAGTAATTTTGGGGGGAAGTTATAGCACTTGTAAATGTGATATCCAGCCCGCGTTTGAGTTCAATGAAAGTCATTTTCTTTTTTCTTTTTCTTTTTTTTTGGTTAATCAAATCACACAGTATCCATTATTTCTTCAGGGAGAAAGAAAGAAAAAGAAAGAGCATGATAAGAAGACTCTTTTCAGATTAAAGAAAAGTATGGAAATCACAAACTTCCGCTCCGCCTGGGCTATTATGAGGCTGGACTATTTTATTACATTTCATTTATCTAGATCTATGTCAGTGTTCTTCGGTCTTGATGAGAGGAGGTGTGATTGTTCATCTGTGGATGCTAATGGACGGCTCAATTTGACTACGGGGACGTTTAAATGCTCTATTTGGCTCTCAGACAAAGGAATAGACACACTATTCCATGTGCATAAGGTAAATGAATAGTTCTGTTATTCATACTGTAGTCCACCAATCATTACAGTTTAAAGTTAGAGGGCATCCAAAGAAAATTGCACTTTCATTGTGCCACCTTCCGATAGTCTGTGGGTTAGGACCCTTAAATCTGTGCCCTTAGATTTTTTGTGTAATCAGATTTAACATAGTTTTTTTTACTTTTTCTTTCCTGTTTTTCAGTTTATTCATTTTATTCAGAATCACCTCATTGGTGTGAAGGTTTGTTATTAATTAATTAGTGGTTTGCTCCCTCTTTACTCATTCATCATAACAGGGTCAAACTAAGTATACAATCTTAAGTTAAATGTTTTTTATGTGTTTAGGCTGACTTCTCAAAAGCAGCTGGATTCTTTCTTTATCTTAAGAAAGGAAAGGGGTGTTTGTTTCTTCCCTCCACTGCTTTGCTAATGTTCAGGTCTGGATATTAAATCGAACTGTTTGTTGTGAACTATCGGTTTAAATTGGGTTTGTTTGTTTGTTTGTTTTAAAATGTAATTAACTAGATTGGATTATTGAACTGAACTGTGTCTTTAGAACTTTGTAATACAACTGAATTAAGCTGAGCTTGAAACAATGTTGCTTTTTGTTTGTTCGGCCTCACAGTCTGCGCTGTAATGTGTTAATATAGTAAGGATTCTTAATCTTTCTATTACGGTGTCTAAGCTTCATGGATGATGGCAAGCCATCTGAAAACCAAAACTCTTTAAAGACCCCTGTGGAACAAATCCAATTACTGCAAATTTCTCGAGTATTAGCATCACTTTTCCAACTCCTTTGGTTTATTTTCCATTCAATTCTGGATTTTAAAGCTTCATAATGTAAATCTATCTTAAATGTGGCTCCATTTCATGATCTCTGCTGGGGGTTTTTTTATAAAAAAAAAGGAAAACTGATTTACTTAACATACTCTTTTCTCTAGTTTTATCACAAAAGGAAAGAAGGCAGCAAAACAATGTAAAAAGACAACTTTTCATATTTAAGTGGGTTACACTGGCTCTCTCTTTGAGCTACACAATAAAAGAGACACTTTCTCTTTGATTATTAAAACAAAAAAGCTCCAATCAGACATGACTTACCTTTACACACAGAAATGAATCTTCACCAAAAGATGAATCCTTGCTCTTTGCTTAAGTTGAGGCGAGTGGGTAAATTCCGAAAGTGTGCAGAGGGTGGATACAGATGCACATCGCTTACGTGTTAAATCCCCAAAACTTAAGTTTGGACTGTTGTTTTTCATACATTACCAGTTTTCTGTCAGCTGAGTCAAGGTTTAGATGCTGTAGCGCTGCATTTGCCTCCAATCACAGTTCCGTTTCCTCCTTGCAGGGTCACATGGGACCGCAGGGCCCACTGGGACCTTCTGGACCAAAAGGCGAAAAGGTACCGCCCCCCCCCCCTCCTGTCATATCCCCTCCCTGACAGCTGTCAGTGATTTGACTGTGTCCGATGTATCTGATGAGCTCTGGGAGTCCGTCATGTGGCATTCTGCCTTCATGGTCAGCTTTTTTTATTTTTTTTATGGACGCACTGGGACCTGAGCGGCGTCCCTAATTAGCCTTTTCCTTTGTCTGCCCGGATGTCCTTGAGATATTCCCAAACTTCCGACTAATTTGATCGGCGACATGAACTCGAACACACCCAATTAAGTCAGCGCCGTCAAATGTATATAATTAGTCTGGCACCTGGACTCCTCTGCCCCTCATTTTGGGGGATATTAGCCTCGTAATTTGTGTTTATTTGACAGCGTGATGTATCACGCTGCACTGGGGTTGAGTCATACACTAATTTGCTTCTTTTTTTTCTTTCGGTCTCTTTGGACAGAAGCCACCTGGATGCGGATATTTGTTGTTTTATCATTGCCAGTACCCTCGGTATAATGGCCGTTTGAGCGCAGGGGTTAAATCAACATTATGCGATGTATCGTCGTCAGTTTAGAGCCGGGTAATTGCGGCTCTGAAACCAGTTTGCAGGTAGACGCAGATCCAAATCACTTACTGTACGCTGAAATCCCCAAAGCGGCAGTTGTTTATCATCCTCGCAATTATCAGTTTTCTTTGGCCTCCCCTGTTTGTCGCTGAGTATCCGTTTTTTTTCATTTTAGATTCATGGTTGGCCTCTATATTTATTCATTTCACGGGGCACACGTGTGGATTATTGCTATTTAAACTACGCACACACTTCCGTGACTGTGGTTTAATGAATCCCAGACAAAAGCCAGCAACAGTACCCAGCTTTGTTTATGTCACGTCTGGGGGAATGTCTGGTGTGTCGTCATGTCTTGATTACCTATTGCGTACACCTGGGGTTCCCCTCCCTCATGTGTTTAAATAGTCCTCGTTTCCCCTTGTCTGGGCGAGTGCGTTTTCGTGCTTTCGTCTTTTCGTCGTCCGTCTTTCGTCACCCCCACGTCACGCCAGGTTTGCTTTTTTTGCCATAGTCTTTTACTTTGTTCCATAGTCATAGTTTTGCCACAGTCTTGTTGTTCTTTATTTTGTTACTTTGCCACAGCCTTGTTTACGTATTGCTTTGATACTTTGCTCACAGTTTTCCACAGCCTTGATTTGTACTTTGTCTGGACATTCACTCTTCAAGAGTGTTTTTTGTTACAATAAACCTTGCCTTCCGTCATCTCCGCACCTGAGTCCTCCCTTCAAGAACCCACCTTCCTGACAGTTTATGTGAAATGTGAAATGGAGTCGTCGTTGGGAACAGCTTCTCTAACGATTTGCCGAGTGCTTGTTTTTTTCCGCCAGACACACCCTTTGACCGGGGTTCTTCTCTTCCTCAGGGAGAACAAGGAGACGACAGTAAATCGGAGGGTCTTCCAGGTCCCCACGGTGACAGAGTGAGTTTCTGACATGCACCGTCATCCCCCCCCAGGCTTATTTTTGGGGTTCTGGGTAGCTGAACTTGTTGTTTGACCCAGGGGACCCCCGGGGTCAGAGGTGAGCGAGGAGAGCCCGGTGACCCCGGACACGCCGTAAGTGAGAGAGAAACAACCCCCTCCTCGACCTGTGTTCTTGTTTGCATCGTTTTTTGTTTGTTTTTTTGTTAAAACAGATGCCAAAAAGCTGAAAATGAAATGCATTTCTCAGGGTCAAACAGGCGTGGACGGACCTAGAGGTGAGGCTGGCGTCCCAGGGCTTCCTGTAGGTATCAAATCTATTTCTCTTGAAATTTTTAAAATCAACCTTTTGAGCCCAGTATGATTTTTTTTATAACAAAAATCAGCAATATTCAAATCAGTCAGTAATGATGCTTTCAGGGCCATCCCGGGCCAAAGGGACTACCAGGGATGAAAGGATCCAAAGGTGATCAAGTAAGGACGTGAATAAAAAAGCTGGATGATTCACTGTGTGTCAGATTGTGGGTTTTTATTAATGCCACTGTGTTCGGGATGTAAAACATGTCTTTTTTTTAATGCTTTAGGGCTTAAAAGGAAAATCAGGATTACCGGGGGCATCTGGGAGCAAAGGACCACCTGTGAGTGAGGGCAATTCTTCTCAAACTAAACAATCATGACGTTCTGATTTAATTATTTTTTATTGTGTATTTTATTTCTTTGTAAGGGTCAGGAAGGCCTGCTCGGCCCCCGGGGGGTGACGGGCAGGGAGGGACTGGAGGGTCCACCTGGAATAGACGGCGATCCTGGGAAAGATGGAAGCAAAGGAGTAAAAGTAAACGCTCCGTTCACCTTATAACACCTCGTGTGTCATGTTTCATAAGCACGGTTTCTGAAATATTCAGCGTCTGAGACCTCTCGGGTCGTTTATTGTTAAAGACTTTGCTCAAACCCCGATGCACACAGTCAGCCACGCGTGATTTTTTTTGTCAGATTTTGTTAAAAGGGCCATAAAAAGACTCCAGAGTCATTGTTCATAAGCTGTGTTCTGTGTTTAGGGGGAGCAAGGGGAAGATGGAAAAGAGGGATTACCCGGACGAACCGGGCTCCAGGGGGAGAGGGGCATGATGGGGGTCCCAGGAAGTCAAGGGTCCTTTGGTCCCAAGGTAAGAGGGACGGGCGGACACTTTGTATTCCTCATTATACTAAAATGCAGTTGACTAACATTTTTACAACAGATCAAAAGTCTAAAATAAATGACTCACAGAAAAACTGGATTGCATTTTCACATTTAAACACATTTAGAATGCAATTGGGAAAAAAAAACAATTGAAAATTGCCTCTTTTAGTCAGTTTTGTTACATTAATCCTCCTTTTTATCTTTAGAATTGAATTAGAAACAAGGATTCCAATTAGGGTTTCCAGTTCAGACCTTTTTGTGCTGAACTTTCCTCAGAAATATATTGAATTCTGATGCGTGTGTGAGGACCAAGGTTCTTTACAACCTCGTCATGAGGATTTCTCTGATGGAGTTTCTGACAGCCTCAGATTTGATTTTAGCCGTTAATCTGATGACTCATGAATCTTCCATCATGGTGTTACCTGTATATTTCACTGGCTTTTCTGTCTTTTTTTCGTTACTTCTCTCTTAGGTATTATTTATTTTGGTTTGCGGCTCGCATTATTTTCAAAGACCTTTTCGTCCGAGGAAGATTTCTAACTTTTCTGGGAATGTGGGCTTTAAAGTCGAGAATATATATCATGGGCCAGAAGACAAATACCGGAAACATGCTGGTGTGTGTGTCTTTAGGGCGAGAGGGGTCAGCATGGTCAGGCCGGTCCAGCCGGGAAGAGAGGCTCCGCGGGTGGAATGGGGTTGCCCGGGAAACAAGGACCCCCAGGAGCAAAAGGACAACCAGTAAACTCCCATTCACTGTTTTCCTCTAACGATCGGTTTCATTTTGTCATAATCACATCAATTTCCCCTCTCTGTTTTCATCAGGGCGATAGCGGTCAGCAAGGATTCCCGGGAGTGTTTGGCTTGTTTGGACCGAAAGTGAGTTTCCATACAATCCTCCCTCACAAGCCAAAACTTTCACAGTTTCAGCTCACACGGCTAAAAGCATTACGATGCCGAAGAAATGCGTTTCATTCATACCCGCTGCTATTGCTAAACAGGTTGTACAGTCTCTGGTCCTGAGTTATCTGGAGTACTGCCCGGTGATATGGTCATCTGCTTCACAAAGTGAGCTTCACAAGCTTCAGCTGGCACAAAACAGGGCGGCTAGAGTGGTCCTTCATGCTCACAGAGAACAAATGTGGCTTCAATGCATAGACGACTTTCATGGTTAAGAGTAACTTTTAAACTTAAATTAAGACTTCTCTTATTTATATGGAATGTTTTCTAACAAAAACATAATTACTTAACAAGGCGGGCACGAGGTGGAGACTTTAAACTCCCTCGACCCAGAAGAAACTGTCTTAAATCCACAGTGCAATATAGAGCCATATTTCACTGGAACCAACGGCCAATAACCACACGAAGAGTTCAGAACAGAACAACCTTAAAAAAAAAAAACTGTCTTCAGAACTACTGCAGATGATATGATGAACTGACCTGTGTATATATGTTGTATAGTACTACTCTTGGTTATGTTTTTATTATTTCCTACTGTGATTTTTATTTTTATTTTTTATGATCCGTTTATAATGTAATATAATTTCTTCATGTGAAGACCCCAGGAAAACTAGTGGCCATTTATTTGGCAGCTAATGGGGATTCTAATAAAACTAAACTAAACTAAACAGAAAAGGACTTTGTAATTCCCTTTTTGCGCGTTTGTGTAAAGTTTAAACGTCTAAAATCGTCAGGTATGCGCACAGGATTATGTTCTCTGCGAAGATGACTGTAACATGCCCCGGGATGACATCTGCTCTGCCCATTGGCCCGTTTCCATGGCAGCAGTTATTTGTAGATCCCAACCAGCTGAGCAAACACAGCTGACTTTATTAGTGTAAGTCCTTAATTCGAAACCTCGAGAGTGCCGTTGGAGCGTTTCCTCCCGCTGGAGCTCTGGGCGCGTGTTTGGATCCTGTAGTCGTTTCCAACCCACAATCAGTGGGATTAAACTGGTAAGAAAAGTGGGATTAAAGTAAGAGATAAAAATGTAAGCTTTCAAAACCCCGAATCCTTGTTCTGTTTAAAAATAGGAAGGGTAAAAGGGTTGTTTCTGTTCTGCTACCATTGTGGCGTGCTTCTATTGATTTGTGGTTGGATGAAAATAAAGGCTGGATATAAATAGCCTGGACGGGGTCAAAAGCTTAGGAGCACGTTTACGCATTTCCTCGGAAATTTAAAGGAAACTGGCGCGTGTTTCTCGGCTCTGGAATCTATCCCACACGCGGTTGAGAGGTGTGACATTCTGCGTTTTTGTGTGGAGTCGGCTGAGGTGTGAGGATGGGGGGGGAATCCACACAATTTGCCACATTTTATTCTGAGGCTGTTTGATACTGAGGTGTGATGTGGAAACGATGGGTAAACAGAAACACACGTAAAAATAACCACGCGTCAAATCTTTTGGGAATCTTTCTCCTTGCAATTTAAAAAAAAAATCTCTCTTGCAACCACTTTCCAATTTTTTTTATTTATTTATTTATTTATTTATTTATTTATTTTATTATTATTATTATTTTTCACTTTCCAATTTTAAAGACGTAAGGCAAAAGCAACCTTTTTTTTAAAAACAAATTTTATACACAGTAATTAACGACCACTGAGCGTCTTTTCGGCTAATTTCCCCCCCCCCCCAAAAATAGGTGGACTTTTTGTCGGTTTAACCTTTAACTGTCCGTTTTGCTTCTTCTCTTAACGTGTTTGCAGGGACCCCACGGTGACATTGGCTCGGCGGGGATACAGGGACCGAAAGGGCCACGGGGCTTGATGGTAAAATGAAGATTAATGGCCGGCGGGCAGCTGGGCGCTCTGTGACCTGGACTCCGAAAAACAAATGTGTCCCCCATCGGACGCTCCATCACGCGTGTGCTCGGTCACTAATACGCGTCTGCTTTGCAGGGCGTGGACGGGACTCTGGGCCCCGCCGGCATCATCGGGCCCAGCGGTCATCCGGTGCGTAGCTCACTTCTCATCCCATCTGCCCGGTGTTTTTTGTTGTTGTTGTGTGTTTTGGGCAGTGATGGAGTGATTGTCTGTCTTCTTCCTCTCCATCAGGGAGCCCAGGGTGAGAAAGGAAGTCGGGGGGAGACGGTGCGTGTCGCCTTTTTTTTGATGATGAATATCTGTCTTTCTGTACTTGTGAGCACAGAATGTGACGCTCAGTATGGAGGCAGAACAACAATCGGATTCCATTATTCTCAGCGGTTTTCCCATCCTGTTTTCCCGTCCTGCCGGAGTGATAAAGAGGCTTCGAATTAACGTGAATGGACGATTTGAAGCATAGAGACGAAATTTCTTAGCGAAAACTTAGAAAAAGGCTGGAGAGCGATTCAGTAGAAAAGTGTTGTTAATAAAGCTGAGATCTAGAAGCGACGTTCTTTATGCTTTACATAATAAATAACACTTCTCTCTTTTTTAACTGATTGGATTCTTTGATCTCTTTTAGGGTTTGCACGGACCAAGAGTGAGTAGCTATTCTGTGTCTTTACTCCTGACACGGTAGGAGAAATGCTGAATTAATCATCATAGAAAAACCTAAACTGTGATGCTGGGATTTATTTATTCATTTTTAGGGATCTCCCGGTCCTCGAGGACCACCTGGACCACCAGTGAGTTCTCTCTCTCTCTCTCTCTCTCTCTCTCTCTCTTTTTTAGTACTTTTCCTTTGTACATGAAACAGACTAATCCTTCTCACACATCTAGTAACATTTGGAAAGCGTTAGTTAGATAATGAGTGTGGACTGGAACTGTAGTCCGAGGGTACTAGTGTCCTACCTGCTGAAAGAGATTTAGTAAAAGATAAAAAAGATAATAATATGCGGACATCGCCTCCAACTAGGTTTCCTGCTAAGAGATACTTTGTTAGGCTTCTCCTCCAGCTGTTTTAAGCTTCTATTTATGAATCAGCATCCCATCAGTTTCGTCTTTACTTGGCGGGATGCTTCTCTACCAAGTTTGGCCCTGGTTTTAAAAAAAAAAATGTAGATATTTCTGTGTTGCTTTCACTATAGTTTTTCACTATAGTTGATCTGTATTTTTAATACTGAACAACCATTTGGTGCAGCACTTTTTTTCACTGATTCATAGAGTATATACAGGAGGTTAAGTCACATAAACTAGCTCTAAAATTAAGTTTAGCTATTTGATTCCTAAATTAAGTCATGACATTTTTTTAAATTTGACACTTCTCCCACAAAGTGTAACCCAACTGTCTCCAAAGAAAAGTGTTACCACCCTTTTTTTCTAGTGTAAATGTTAAATTGTTAGCTGCTATTTTGCAAACTTTACTACATTTATTTATTTATTTATTTATTTATTTTATAACTCATTCATTTGGAGTCGTCTCTAATTGGTAGACTTGGAAAGTTATTCAAACGTGTGCTTTAAGGTGTCCTTCACTTGGCTGGAGGCTGATTGATTTTGACACTTTTAATGCTCTCGCTATCTCACCGGTGGATTTGTTTTTGTTTTTAAAACAAAATAGAAAGAGTAAAACAGAGCGTCTGCTTCCCTTTAATTACCAGCTCCTCATACTGTGTAACTGTCACGATGGGCTTTCACGCCTTTGCTTCCTTTGCTTTTATCGATGCTAAAATATTTCAGAACTAACCCTCTTCGTTTCAGTGTCCATTTGCTTTTGGTCCCTCGGATTTCCCCAGGAAGGAATCATCATTTCCATTCTCCTTCTATCAGAATGCAAATGCATTTAAATGCGCACAATCTGTAGCTCATTACAACCAACTCCTGCCTTTTCTGCAGATGTGAGGACAAGGGGAGCAAGTCTGGTGGAAAAAAAAAATCACTGGAGACATCAAAATCCACTTTACACTTAATGAACTGTAATCACTTTGTGGTATTTAGGGGATAATCTTTCTCGTGTTCCCCGCCTGTAATCTAACACAAAAGCTCCTCCGATCTGTGTCTCGTACGGCCTCATACGGTTTTATTTGCTCATCTGCACATCGGGCATGAGCTGAACACCACAAAAAGCTTCTGCCTAACAGGGAAAAGTGATTCAAATAACGCTTGTTTTTTTTCTCCATACGATTGCTTTTAAGGGCCTATCCAGATCTGCTCTGTTACTCGTAAGTACGCCTTTTGTTGTGTCACAATCCAGGCCGTTTTAATGACTGTATAAAAAAAACGAGATATCTTCTGCTGGCAGGGAAATGAAGATCTCGGCGCCCCCTTCCAGACCTTCGATTCCCACGATGCACCGAGGCCAGCGGTCAGTTTACGGCCACGCCGGACTAAAACCGTAGCGTAGAACAGTGTTTTTCAACCTTTTTTTGAGCCAAGGTACATTTTTTCATTGACAAAATCACGAGGCACGCCACCAACCAAAAATGTCAAACAAATCTGTAGCCGCCTATAGTAACACTATAGTTGTTCTTATCTTATTAGTATCTTATATGTCTTGAATAGGAATCAATTCAATACAAAAAAATATTTTTTATCATATTTTATATTTCTTCTTTCAAATTGCACTTAACATGTCCACTTCAATATACAAAATTATAAACAAAATCTAGTCATAAGGAATTATTACATGATTACGCCACCAGTCACTAGAACAGCACAGACACTCAAAAATGGCATATTATTTGCAGATAATTAATTACTTATCAAAAACTCTTTTTAGACCAATTAGGTGAAATAGGATGATTTTCTACGGCACACCTGACCATCACTCACAGAGGCACAGTGGTTGAAAAATGAAAAACACTGGTGTAGAATATCCGAGTAAAAAGGCCTCGTCTGATAGAAATCTCCCAAAAAAAATCCCCAGAGCGTGGACCTGCCCATGTTAGACCAGGGTCAGGAGATCCTGAAGAGCCTGCAGCACCTCAGCTCTCTGGTCCAGAGTCTGCGGACCCCTCTGGGCACCCGCCCCCATCCGGCCCGGATCTGCAGGGACCTGCACAGCTGCGAGCAGCGGGTGCACGACGGTGAGAGGCCATTTTGGTTTTTGGGGCGCTTTTCTTCTTCGTTTTTTTGCCTAACCCCCCCCATCTCCCCCTTAGGAACCTACTGGATTGACCCCAACCTGGGCTGCCGGGCGGACAGCATCCAGGTGACCTGTAACTTCACCAGCGGGGGACACACTTGCCTGAAACCTGTCGCGGTCTCCAAGGTTCGCGTCGCAATTAACAAGCCCGAGATTGCTTATGTCCCCGTTGAGAACGTTCTCATGTTTGTCTTAATAAGGATTTCTTAAGAAGTAGGGAGGCTTAAGACTTTAAGATGGGCCGTGTGAGTGCACGGTGCAAACTCGTGACAGATAAAAGAGAAAAGCTGCTCATTTTCCGGCCCTCGTACGTTAAATCTTAACGCCGTTTGGATGGATCGTGTGTGCTCGTAGTCAATCTTAAGAGCGTCCCGTTTGTGCCTGGGTCTTGGCTGCTGTCAAAGCCGCGCATATTTGGCGAGTAAACCTCGACTCTTAATCTGCTTTTTATCCTTTGGCGTTATCCTTGATCCTCAAGATATTGCTGCACAACATCAGTACGCGGTGATATATAGATATAAACGCACTGACCCACTTCCTGCTCAAACTGAAAATGAATTTAAAAAATAAAGACTTCAGGCCCAATCTGTGAACCAGATGTAAACCCGCTGAGTTCCAGATTGATTGTACTCAACATTATAATTATACCTAAGAAAAAAGATAATTATAGATACTTATTACCTAAGAAAAAATAAAGAATAAAGTCATGAAAGCTGCCATTTCCGAAAAAAACTGTAAATATGGAATAAAAACAGCAAAATCTCGTCTACCCACAGCTGGATTTAGGCGTGGGTCGCATCCAGATGAACTTCATCCACCTTCTGAGCACCGAGGCCACGCAGCACATCGTCGTCCACTGCCTGGACACGCCCGTGTGGGCAGCGGCGCCCTCCTCACCGCCCTCGCCCGCAGCCGTGAGCTTCAGGGCCTGGACGGGGGAGAGGATCCGGGCGGGGGACCTGCTGGAGCCGCTGGTACCCCGAGACGACTGCTGGGTACGCTCCCGTTTCCATCACTACACAGGGAGCTCTCCCCGAATCCATCCCCATCTTTTTTTTTAAGTTTGTATTCTGTCAGATCTGTTCTGAGAATATCAGAAAGGTGCCCAGTTTTTAAGCTGTGAAAGCATCGAGGGACTCATTTTTTAGCTTTGAAAAAGAAGACTTTTGGGGAATTGTCCACATGTTTTAAACTGAAAACTGATCCTAACTAACACTGCTAAGTATATTATCAGAGACTGGACGCTCCATAGGTATCTTAGTTTAACTTAATATAGAAGTTTTCAAGGCTGTAAATGCTTCAACTTATTTTTTGGCTATGCACAGTTAGAGAGTACAGATTCATTTTGGAAAACTGATACTGATAAACTTCAGTAAGTGAACTTCGGAGTCTGTTTGTCATTAAATGCATATAAAGACCTTTCTGTTTTTTATGTAAGAAATCTAATTGCCTTCTTTTATCATTGACTATCATGGGTGAGTTTTTTTCTTGACTTTATGTCGGAGAGATCTCCAAAACGTTCCTTCTCCCAATTTATTGCAGTGAAAACTAATGGAATTTTCTTTTAAGTGCTCGTAATAAGTAGACTAAACAAGTCCTTCTTCAGTGTCTCTGTTCCTGTGGAGAATCCACAGACCTGTCAGTGGCTTCTCTGGCAGCTCCTAAGGACCTTTTATTGGGGGTTTTTTTTGTGTTCACAATTACAAATCAGTTTGAAATCTTGTTTGGAGGGAGAACTCTCTGTGATTAATACCTGAAAGCTTCAGACGAATCCCCCGGCCACCCTCAGGGGGGGGTGGCCCCCTGGTGTGGTCTCCATGTTAAAACGATGTATTTGTGCCTGTGTGTGACTTCCAGATGAAAGACGGGCGCTGGCACCAGACTCACTTCGTCTTCCAGAGCCCGGACCCCGACCTGCTCCCCATCGTGGACGTCGTGCACGACCTGCCGGGGGGGGGGCTCCACCTGGAGGTGGGACCGGTGTGCTTCCTGTAGGGCCCCCGGGGAGCCCTGACGGGAGTCAGGACGAGGAAGACAAGGGGAGGGGGGTGGGGGAGGTCTGATACATCTGTAGCTTCCACAACAACAAACCTCCACCCCACCAACGTTTTGTTTTTTTCTTCAAAATATGCTCGGACTGCAGAAACGGGGGGAGGCGCTGGACGGAGGCCATTTCTGACACTAACTGATGGAAATCCAAAGCCCAAGCCCACACCGGACCCCGCCTCTTTAGGGTTCAACTCTCAGACCCCCCGCTGTATCGGAATTTCCTCACGGATATGACACTCATCTTTGCAAAAACCCCCAAAAAAGAAAGAAAAAAATTCTGTTTGATGAAATCTGTACAGAGGCTGTGCAGAAAACAACTGTCCGTGTGGGTTTAAAAGCGGCGCGGACGCGTCCACTGCGTGTCCAGATTGCTACCTCCTTCTGCACCTCTGGCCTCCACCTGGCCAGCAGGGGGGGGGGGGGGGGGGACAGAGGTGTCCCCCGGTGCTGACGGACTCTAGTGACTCTAGTCCCCATCCGTTCTTTAAAAGGGAAGAATGTAAGAGGCTTACTCACACGGTTCTTAACTTATATTTCCAAAGTATTATTTCATTCTCTCATTACTCTCGGTACGAGTTAAAGTTGTTTTTTTTTTTGGGGTGTCACAGTGCAAAGTGTAAAGTATAATAAGGATGCAACCTTTTTTTATCATCAGTGGACTCTTATTTAAAGATTATTTAAATGCCGATGAGCCTGCCGCTGCAAAAGTCAAAGTTCTGCTCTCAGTTTTTTTTTTTTTTTTTTTTTTTGGTTCTTTGGGCGCTAAAAAGTGTCCCTATTTTTTGACAGAGCTGCTGGCCCCCCGGGGGGGGGGGGGGGGGGACTCCACAGATATTTAAATGACGGCCTGAGGCCTTTGTTTGTAAGCAGCTTTCACATCCGAACCCCCTCAAAAAAATAAAGAAACAAGAAAAAAAAATTGAAAGGCCTTCCGCTTTCTCACACACAAAAGCACAGGACGCGCTCTGGAGCTGTGAAGTGCTGTATTAGCGCGCACACATGCACACACACTCATACACACACTCATCTGGGGCACATGGCGTGGCGGCCTCCGTCGATGGGCAGGTTGACCCCGGTGATGAAGCTGGCGGCGTCGGACGCCAGGAAGGCGATGCCGTGCGCCACCTCGTCCACTTCACCTGGCCGGCCCAGCGCGTGCGTCTGCTGGCATTTGGCCAGGAACTGTGGGGAGAAGCGCAGGGAAGGGTGAGGATCAAAAACGCATGAGGGGAACCGTTAAGGCGGGCGTGACGGTTCCCCGACCTTAGCGTACTGCTCCTCGTCCAGCCCCGCCCTCCTGTGGACGTCCGTGATGATCACACCTGGACTGAGAGGAGGAAACCAAAAACCTGAAACGCTGTCTTCCAACAGAGTTACGAAAAACTCACTGTACTCTGTAGTTTTTTATAAATCTAAATAAGGAAATCTGAGTATTGACTGATGCTTTTTTTCCCCCCCTTTCAACCCATAAGTGGTTTTCTGTTTCAATTACTCTTTGAGTGGACCATTTGGTTTTGTAAACAGTGGGAAATGCCCAAAATGAGAAACAGGCTTTAATGTTAGCCAGTAAGAAAAAAAAAAAAAGAAAAAAAACACAGTTTCATAAGAGGAATGGAGCAGCGGTGAAGTCCAGAGTTTATGGAGTGAGATGGAAAAATAAGGGGGTGTTTTAACACACGCCCATAAAGCGGAATCAGCACGCCGGCGGCCGTCCAAGACACTTTGGGAATAAGTCAAACAGCATTTTTCTCTCTGTCTGGTGTTTGTCTGAACTCTCTTGCATTACCACCACATTATCAGAGCTTCAGATGGTAGCGCAGGTCTGAGCTTTTCTGAGTTAAGAGAAGTCGGCCAACTCTTCCTTAAAGGGCACGTTTTCATAAATGTTAACTCAAGGATCCATTTCTTGTACATACCAGACAGAGTTCACTCTGACTTGCTTTGATGCCAGCTCTGGGGAAAAAAAATATTTGGAAAAAAAGGAGTTACATGATGCACAAGGAGAATTTTTGCTGAGCTTTTACGTGTCAAGTGGCTGAAATGACTCACCGAGAGCTGTACAGCGTGTGAACTGGTCAATGGCCGATTTGGACATGCAGTAGGCCAAAACACCGGGGAACTGCAGACGGGAAGAACGGAAAGCGAGCGTATTTTAACGACCAATTAAAAATCCTGAGCCGACCTGCAGTCGAAAATGCTGAAATCTGCGTCCAGCTATAAAAAAAACAAAATAAAAAAACCTACCGATCTCTGTCCATTCACGCTGGAGACGTTGACGATGGAACCTTTGGTCTTTATGAGGTGGGGCACGCACAGCTGAGTGAGGTGGTACACAGACCTGAGGCGGGAAACAGCATTCAGGGGGGGAAAAAGATATGTCTTGGAAAATTATTATCAATAAACCTGAAAACAGACGAGGTAACACAGTCGCAACCACAAATTCACACATTCAGATTGTACGCCCCCCTTCATTTTTCTCTCAACGTTCACCCTCATTTCTGGCCCAAATCGACTCAGTGCTGAAAGAAATGTGCTGGCCGGGTAGAGATTAGAGTGTGCGCCCCAGAAAGAACATCACAGCCACATCCAAATGACACGCACACAAAAAAAAGACAGTAGAAATCTACAGGGTGTTAATTAGACTGACTCATATTAGCGCATCATCAGCAAACCTGATTCAGTTCCAGCGTGTTACACAGAACCTGCTTATTTGAACAATTTGCACTTAACTGAAAGCAGAACTGATTCTCGACGAATTTATACCTTTTCTTTTTTTGTAGGTAAGGCCTCACTTGTTTCTCTGAGACAGTTCCAAACAACTTTACATAAAGCTAACTCGGGCACAATAACAGGAAAACCCACTGAAAAAAAATCTGACGTGTGACGAAACAAGAAATACCGACAAAAAGAAGACATGAAAGGACTGGTGCAGAGTTTTATATTGGTGAAAATGTGATTTAACTTTGTCTTGGTTAAATACGGAAAGTCTGAATGTCTCAAGAGTTGCTGTCAGAGCCTTTTACATATCATTTTGATAGTTCCACAGCTTTTGTATACCTGCAACTCAAGCTAAATACAACATATATACACATAACAATTTAACACTTAAACATTAACACATATATTTATCATAAAAAGGCAGTCAAATTTCTGGAAATGTGTTTTAAAACTGACTAGTTTTAATGTTCTGTTTCCCTTTTGAAAAAGAAAAAATCCCCTCAGACACATTTTTAACCAACACACTCCTGCAGTGTCATGCTGCGCTGACCCTCCCGTCTGGTCACACTCCAGGGGACGTCCACCCCCCCCTCCCCATCCGTCACACTGGCAGGGGAGCGTAAATCCTACCTGACGTTGACGGCCATGACCTTGTCGTACTGGGCCAGGTCCGTGGTCTCGATGCTGCCCATGGCCAGGATCCCCGCGCTGTTCACCAGGACGTCCAGCCGGCCGAAGCGGGCGATGGTCTCCCCCACCGTCTTCCTCACCGTCTCCTCATCGGTCAGGTCTCCCGGGACGAGCAAGGGCTGCACACAGAGGGGCTTTTTGTGACTGAAGAGGACTAATATCGACTGGCTTTACAGGTCACAGATTCTGGACAACAAGTCTGTTTTATACCCTTAAATTAAATACCATCTTCACATTTTTAATCCAATCCACATGTGATAACAGCAGGATCCTGCTTGACATGGACTTAAAGGCATAGATGCTTAATATAATTAGAGACCTAGACTTAGACAGTACTTTATTGATACCTTGGGAAGACTCCCTCAGGAAATTAGGGTTACCAGCAGTTTAAAGGGCAAAAAGTATTAAGCTATTAAGTTAAAATTAAATTAAGCAAAAAAATAAAAATAAATAAAAAATACAAAAAAATACAGATTAAGTACATAAGTATATAATAGGAGTTGTGTGTATGTAATATCTCTTCCCCCTGTCCTGTGTCAAGATAAGGTCTTATGATTAAAGGCAGTTTTTGCTTGCTTATGGAATGCTCCCCCAAATATCCATAGTTTATTTTCACTCCACCTTCAGATTAGACTAAATTTGACTGGATTAGGGATTTCCAGTGAGTTTTCTCAGTGGGTGGATTTGACACTCCGGGAGTTCAGTGTGTGTTTGTTTACCTCCACGGCTCCGCAGTCGGTGCATTGCTGGGCCACTTTTTTCAGGTTTTCCACGTCCCGACCGTTCAGAGCCAGCAGAGCTCCGAGTTTAGCGAACAGGACGCTCGTACCTGCCCCGATACCCGAACTGGCCCCCGTTATAAGGGCCACTTTCCCCTTCAGTGAGGTCACCTAACGTACATCGAAATTTATCAGGTTAGCCTATTTTTATGAGAACCTCTCGTTGGGAAAAATGGCTCGTAATTTCGTCAAATGTGTACATTGTCTTTCGTTTATTTGCATTGAAAGAACGTTATTCCATTCAAACAAACCTCAACTTACTTTAAATGCGTCGTGTGAGGCCATTTTTGCTTAGTTTGTTGGTTCTGAAGCAGAGCGACACGCTTCGTCCTTTACTGATGACGCAAGAAAGGGCGCCGAACGGTGATTTGTAGTTCTTTAAGGACTACAAAACAAATGTATTTATCCGCCTGGTTTTAAAAGCTTATCGTCAAACATTAAAAATATATATATTTATATTCTAAATATTATCAAAAACTCAGTATGTCATGCATCTTAAAAAATGTTTAATATGCATTTCTTTAAATCAAAACATCCTTTATTCAACAATACATTTATCACAATGTAAAAAAAGTCTGTGATGTTATGACATTAATGACCCACGATCCCTTTTCGTGCTTCTATGATTTAACGCTCAGATGAACACCTTTTCATTCATTTTAACAAAAAAAAAAACAGGATCGTTTTTAGTATTGGCCTGGAGTCACACTCTGTGTTCACTGGTTTGGACTAATAGACACCTTATCCACCTCACTGATATAGTCAATTATCCAGCAAAAGGGTTGGCATGCATGGTCACGTCCTTTATCCGTGTTTCAGTCAGCGGTCGGAATGTCTTTTCATTCACAGGCAGCTTCTCCAGTTCATCCAGCGTTTCCAAGCCGTCGATTATCCTAAAAGTTATCAAGTGAGATGTCAGCTGACACATTACAACAAGCTCAGATCACTACACATGAAGCCTGACATTATAGTTCAGGATCCATTCATTTTAATTCCTTGCTGCACATGCATCTTAAGCCATCAAACATCTGTATCCCATGTTAATGGCTTACTTTCCAAAGACTGTGTACTTCATGTCTAGGTGGGGTTGTTTTGCGTATGTGAAGAAGAACTGGGAGCCATTGGTGTTGGGGCCATTGTTCGCCATTGAGACCACTCCTCTTACGTTATGCTGAAATCATAAAACAAGCAAACACAATTCACTCAACACCAACCCTTGACCGAAAGAAAAACTTGACAGCACTCGGTTGGGGATTTGCTTACTTTTAGGTGTTCGCTGAACTCGTCTTCAAATTTGCGGCCCCAGATGCTTGTTCCACCTTTGCCTGTTCCTGCACAGTTTAAGACACATAACAACTAAGTGAACACACACACACACGAACATATGGGAGAGTAATCAAGGTAATCTATTCCCTAACTCAAATAAAGATCATGTTTGGAATGCTATTCTCTTCATGCGTTTCAAAGAGAAATCTTTATTAATTTAGCTGATATTGCATTCTATAGTCCATTTTATATGCATGGGATATTTTAGGGTATATTTTAATACGTTTTGTTGCTTAAATTCATGCATTTAGGGTTCCCCATCCCTTTACCTGTGGGGTCTCCAGTCTGAACCATAAACCCTTTAATATTCCGGTGGAAGACGGAACCGCTGTAGAACCCGCTGGCACACAAAGCAAGAAAGTTCTGAAACATAAAGAAAAACACCGAAGTAGTCGTTTTTTGGGTTAGTTTATTTAACAGGAACAGAGGATGGGGACCCTGTGTACAGGCAGTGTTCGGGTAAACTTACCTCACATGCTCTCGGCGCGCGCTCACAGAACAATTCAATTTTTAAATCTCCTACATCGGTGTGAAGTGTAACGGCCTTCCAGGGAAGAAAAATAGAGTCAATTAAAACACTTGAAACATTACATTTGCGATTATCATTATCTCTGGCTTCCTAGTCCAGTGTCTTGTAGGAAACGTATCACAAGCAAGTGCTCGTTTAGCCACGTGCAGCTAGCTAGCCAGCACGAGGATAAGCAAACAATTAAAGTACTAATCAGAGCTGAATTAATCCAAAAGTTCAATTATTTCAATTTAGACTAAGACGTTCTAAAACTTGAGAGGAATACCATTTCAAATGTTGAGGCTGAGACCGAGTGCGTCAAGCAAAACCTACCGGTCGGAATCACAGACCGATGATTGGTTCCGGATGGAATTGGTTTCAAATTCATTCTTGCGCCATGGCCATTACACGCTCGTTTGAAAAGCAGAGTTTAGAGAAACTCAGCCGTCCCCACACCGTCCAAAAACATACATCTTAGGTTGATTGACGACTCTGAAATTGCCTCAAGGAATGACTGTGTGGTGGTTCGTCTTTGTGAAAGACTGACTACCTGTCCAGAGTAGACTCAATCCTCTCTTCCAATAACGGTTGGAGCGCAGTTTGGACAATTGATGGATGAATGGAGTTCAAAAGGAAATTAAAAAAGGTTAAACATAGAAAATAGCAGGCTTTATTTTGAGAGTCGCTCCAGAATGAGATGGTTAGCAAGACCAAAAATCAAATTCCTTACTTCCCATTTTAAGTTCTAAATAACTCAATTTTCCTTTTAAGTGGCAAATCTTCTAAAACTCAATCTACAAATATAAAATAGAACCCTACCTCAAACTGTTAAATGAGAAACTCAAATCAATTAAACTACCACAAGTGCTATCTTTTTTATATCATTGGGGCAGGTGGCTTATATTTGTGAAATAAACACAAGGAAAAAAAATTGTTCAAACAGGTTTATTTGGATTTTTTCTCTAGTGGATGGTGAACACAAAAAGGTTGAGGATACGTTCACACTGAAGACTCACAAGTGGTTGAGGTGAATGGTACATATCAGGACTGCTGCATTGACGGTTTTCTTCTTTATGTGGCTTTTGGCAAAAGAAAAACAGCTCAAAACTGAATGTGTCGATCTGTTCCGGTTCCATCGCGAGTCTGGGAACACTGATACTGATTTTGTACCCAAAGAAATACGGAGGGGACGAGTGAAAATGCATGAAAATACAGAAGTGGTTTTAAACCAAGTGGTATCTCTTCAAAAAAACACAAACAATTTCTGTCTTAAATCAGCAGTCAATAATAAACACAACAAACTTGAAAAGAACTTATAGAAATGCATATAAAATATAACCACAACTGTTAAAAATTAATACAAATATCAGGTGTAATAAAAAAAACAGGCATTCAACTCAAACATTAGGGAGTACTAGCTGGTTTTCCTGAGAAATGTACTTGTACTATAATATAGCTGTCATAATAAAAAAAATTAAAGGGGAAGAGACTGAGAACATAAAGGTTTAACAATAAAATTGAGACAAAGTGTACAACTACAAACTGCTACCACTTCACTAAAAAAACAAAACATTGTTTCTTTACTCACAGCAAATGTTTTTTTTGGGACATTACATCTTCCATTTCCACCTTTTAGTCAAATACTTGATTGTCTTAATACGATGCCTGTTACTGACATGATCTGGGCTCATCTGAAATCCAAGAAAAAATGACAAGTCACCTAATGCCCATTTTTTTATCTCATGGCTGGCAGTGACATAACTGCCAAAACAAAAAAGTAAAAAACACATCTTGTATACATCGAGCGGTATACAGTTATTTGCATTCGTCTGAATGGGACTTGTGTGAAAGGTGCTGTGGTGCAAGAGCCGATAGATACTCGTGTAATGTCCTAAACTTCAAATGTCAGTAGTAAAAAGCAATGTGGTGAGGGGAATTCGAATGCATAATAGAAAAAACAATAACACTACTAACCTTCACATAAAGGCAATATTGCACAATAGAGCTGTTAAACATGTCTGTGGAAACACACAGACATGGCTTCAATTACTTCTATGCTCCTCAATCAAGTTACAATACTTTATATTGCTACGGTCCAGGTTCGCTGGGGGGTCATTAAAAACATTTTCTCAGGGTAAAAACAGAAGAGACTCTGGTGTACGTTGTGCTGCTGTATGTGCTTTGATCCGTCCTTCATAGCATCACTTTTCTCTCTGAGGAAAAACATAAAGCCCAGATTTTTTTTTCTTTTCTTTTTTTTTTTTTACAAATGACAGAAAAAAAAACACAAAAATGCACAAACACACAAATAGACACGCAAAAAAAGGGGGAAAAAAGTCTCATCTATGAGACTCAAAAGTCAAATTTGAAACAGCCTGGTAGGTTGGCGCTAAGGTCCTGCTACGTTAGGTCCAGTCTAAAAAATAGAGACTTAAGATAACATTTTAGCATTTTAGATAAAAAAAGAAAGACAAAGCAATCACATTTTTTTTGCTTTTTTAAAATCCCCTAGCTTGGCAAGAACAGCTCTCTGCAGGGGATGCAACTGGCGGTAAAACACACACACACACACAAATAAAACCAACAAAGAAAATTAAATAGCTTCCATTCCCTTAAAGAATCTGTATCATGAACTAAAAAACTGGACATGCTACCTATCAGTCAGCTGTACACGACAACTGTGCAAAAGGGAGTGAAACCTGCAGTCGATCAGCTTTTGCTCAAATAAAGTCACACACGAAAAACAAAAACAGATCGGGGGGGGGGGGGGGGGGGGTTAAGATTTCTCCCTTTGATACATTAAACATATCTACTGTGTAACAATTACTTTTCTAAATCGTGGTGACTTGTGCCCTAACCCTGTTGTGCAGGGTTAGCCCTAAAAACAAGCCCCCACCTCCCAGTGCCCAACGTTTGGGGCTCTTTTGTTAAGTGCAGATTAAAGGAAAAGTAACTGCATCCAGAGATGTTAAGAGTACAATAAATAACACAGATTTAAATGTTAAGGCAACTAAACTCAGAATGTCTTTTAAAAAACAAAACAAAGAAAAAGTTAATCCCCGAATGAGCTTATTCCTCATAATACCTTTTCTTATATTGCTTCCTGCCTCTCTTTTCATTACATGGAATGTCATTTATATTCTTTAAATAAATTAAAAAATGAGTTCATATTTCTGAAATGGCCTTTTTCTTCAGTAAAAATAGTCAACCAAAACGACACGTCGACCCAAATTTCGGACATGTTAATTGAACACGGGTTTATCTCGGTAAGGGAAAAAAAACGGCTGCCCCCCAGCATGATTTACAGGCAGGTATAAACAGAATTTTATCTTTTTGTAATTAATTAGAACAAACACCATGCTGGGGCTTTGATAACAGATTTATAGACATCACGTGTAATTCGTCAACAGCAACGCTCAGCTATCCAAGTCCCATTTTGCTCACACCTATCACTTCTATTCAGAGGTCCCACTCTCAAGTCAGTAGTGTTTTTATCCCTCGTAAAAAGAAAAAGAAAGAAAACAAAACAAAAAGAAAAACTTTTGATGTAGACATATCTCAAAGCTACATGTAATTTTCCCCAGATTTGTGGTTTTTCCTCTGTGCAAATGATGGCATACAAACCCCCCAAAAACAACACTGCAATACAGCGCTGGCCCTTTAGAGAAAAAAAAGGGACATTGTCAGTTCCAACTAAAAAGCATACCAGCAGTAAGGGTTGGGTATCCTGATGGAAAGCTTTACTAATTCATTTATAATGTTGGTCCACTACCCTGAGTCAAAACGCATAACCTTTTCTCCGGAATGAGGTCAGCAGCCCGTCATCTCTGCCAAAGCCCTGCCTTCTTTTAAGAATCGCATGTTGAGTTGCTGCCCAGGTTAAACTTGACACTGCTCTTAGTTCTTTTTGGCTATAGCACTTCCAACTTAAGCAGCCCTCTTCTTCCAAATTGGCCCAAAAACTTCATCTACGCAAACCGACATGTGACATTAACTTTTCATTCTCTGTTCATTTGGGTCAACACCTAAAAGACTGCCAACTTTATGAAGAAGACTGTTAACTGTCTGTGGTTGATGACCAAGTCAGATTAGTTTTGTTCATTTAAACCATCCATTCTTCACTCCTTGTGTATTACCAAACATAAGCCCGATGAGCGGTTGTTTTTGTTTTAAACTAAAGTTACCCAACAGCGCTTTGACCCCGCGCGCCGTAAGACTGGAGCGAAAGAACCGAATCCTGATCACTATAGCACTGCTACATATCTGCTGGAAATGTCGCCACTGGCCTGAGATGTTGTTTTTAAAGGAACGAAAAACCAAACAAAAAACAACAAACGCAACAACAAAATCCTAACTGGACTAAGCAAACAACGGGGGAAGCTGCCAGAGGCGTCTTTTTGGTTCTGTCACAGTGGCACTTTCTCCAGATACCCAGCCTTATTGTCAACACCGCAGCAACGCCACAACCCGCCTCTGCACGGCTTTGCAACAGCACGGGCACCCTCTCCGTTCCTAGATCGAGTTGGTCTCTATCCATTTTTTCTTTTTACTCACAAACCCCTTCAAGCTTGCTCTTTGTCGGCTTTCCACAGCTGCTCCTTGACCTCGGTGGGAAGGGTGTTGAAGAGGTCCTCTTCCACCACGAGGCTGGTTCTCTTGAGCTGCCGGCACTCCCCCAGCTCCACGGGTAGACACTCCAGGCGGTTCCCCCGCAGCTCTAACTGCGTCAGAGCCGTCAGCTCTCCAAAACGGGAGGGCAGAGACTGCAGGCAATTGTTGCCCAAGTTTAAGGTGCGGAGCTTCTTGCACTGGAACAGTTCGTTTGGAAGGCTTTCAATCTTTATTTTAAAGGCGTCGATTGTTGTGATAGAAAAAAACAAACAAAACAGAGAGAGAACATAAAGAATGTATTAATTTCTAGCTGTATACAAGGCCAAATAGATACGAGTGAATATATTGGGATGGTAGAGATTAAAATACCCACTCTGTTGGCAGTCACTGCCAGGTACTGGAGATTCTGGAGGAAGCCGATGTCTACCGGGATATAGGTTAGGTTGTTGTGGCTCAGGTCCAAGAAACGCAGCTTGCGGCAATAGAACAATTGGCTAGGGATCTTTTCGATTTTGTTTCTGTTCAGGTAGAGCTTTTCGAGGTTGGTCAGGGTGCCGATCTGAATGGGAATGTAGGCGATCTGGTTGTACCACAGCTTCAGGCAGACCAGCCGATGAAGGTGCTGGAAGCTGATGATCTCTTCGATGGTCTTCAGGTTGTTGTCCTTTAGATCGATCTCCTGCAGGTTGTGCAGGCTGAAGATCGAGTGCGGTATGCGCTCCAGATCGCAGCGAATCAGCTCCAGCTCGGTTAGATTCACCATCTTCTTCAGGCTGTTGAGCACCATCAGCTTGGTGCCTTCATTGTTGATGGAGAGCTTCTGCAGGTGCAGGCCAACGTCCGTCACCACCTGAGGTAGTTTGGTGAGATTGCTTTTCAGACGAAGAACCTTGAGCCTCTTTAGCTCCCTGAGCCCGTCGATGACAATGTAACGGTTGTTGTCAGCGCTGAGGTTCCCTGTCAGGTGGAGCTCGCTGAGGTTCTTCAAGCTGTAGATCCATAAAGGGATTTCTTTGATGTCAGTGAACTTGATGTGCAGAGACTTCAGGTTTTCGCGCAAGAACGCCAAGGCTGGAGCTTCGATTTTAGCTGGGGTGTGATACAGCCACATTTCTCGTAGGTTGACCAACTGGGCAATGATTGGCGGAATGGTGATGTCTGGGATGAGCTCCAGCTTTAAGACCTCCAACTCCATCAGATCAAATACTGTATCTGGAATACCACTCAGCATGAAAAGGTGCAACTCCAGCTTCTCCTGAGAGTTCTTAGTTATCCTCTGCCTGAGCTTGTCGAGCGTCCACTCATTGTTGAGGTTGAGCTGCCTCAGCTTGTTTTCGCTGACCTCTGAGAGGAACACGGCAAAGCGTTTGGAGTACAGAGGATCATACTGATCTATCATGTGTAACATAAACGCAAAGTCGTTCTTCACATCGGGGATGTCGCTGTAACTGCTCTCTTCCCGAATCGATTCAAAGGAGTACTTCTTCAGGGAACGCCGAAGCATCCAGCATAGCGTGTACATGCAGATCAACCCGTAAACTACCACTAAGCTAATGTAGAAACATGCTAAGATTTTAAAAAGCGTCGCCAGTGGATGCGCACAGCGGTACACGCTGTAGCCAGTCAGGCTCTCTATATTCACAGAACAGTCCACGCTGAACTTGATATTGTGCACGTAATACCCTGTGTAGCAGATTATGAAAATGAACTTGATAACTTTGATAATGGTCTGACGGATGTACAGTCTGTACACAATGTCTCCTTCTTCTACGTGGATACGAAACTTTTTCACTTTTTCAAACAGCGCCTTGGCCTGCTCCCCTTCCTTCTTGTCCAAAACTCCCGTTTCCGTTCGATCGACAATGCCCTGCTCGAAGCGCGTCTTTGTCCTTTGGAGCATTGGAACATTCGCCTCAACATCCTCGCTTATGACGGACTCCTTGTGGTCCATGGAGCCATTCATTTTCATTGGTTTTGGATCGCTTTCTTCCACCACTGTCTCCGACAGTGCCCTGGTTGTCCAAGGGGAGTCGAAGCATTTCAGCAAAATGGACACAAAGTGCTCTAGTTTGGAGCTAGTACGGGGGAACTTAAACCAAAAGTTACTGCAAGCTAGAAAAACGAGGGTATGGAGTAACACTAGGTAGGGAAAATACTTGGCAAACCAGTGCAAGCTATTTTCGTAGCACTCTGCATCAACGTAGTTGTACTGGTGGCGGTCCAGGTCATACTGAATCCCTTTGGGCTCCAGGAAAAATGATTTAGAAAAGGCGGCGCTGAAATTTTTCCTGCAGGTCTCATTGACAACCCATTTGCATGGCAGGCAGATCATCTTGTCCTGGGTGACCTGCAGTGTCCCCCCAAAGACTGAAATCATGAGCATTACAATGGAAATGTAGTCGGTGAAGACATCCCACCATGGTTTTAAGATGCGGTATGCTGGCTGTGTATCCACAAAGTACCGCAGATCAGTGATCGGGATCATGGCTTACCTGAAGAAAAGAAAAGAAAAGTAGATCATAATGACAAAAGATGATAACACACAAAACAAGCTTTGTAAGAAAAGAAAAGTCTAAACCGCAGTACAAGCACAGAAATGCAAACCACAAAGGTCATATGTTAGATTAGTCCAGGTGGTTCATTTGAAAGCGGTCAATAGTAACAGAAAATAGGTACAAAACTAATTCACTGTTTGACCATAAGGATGGAGAACCATTTCACTGATTTAAAAGACATTAGATAGGTACAATTTATCTTGCTCTTAAAGAGAAGGGAATTGTTTTCCTGAAATACTTGAAAACATGGGTGGAGAGATTACAAGTACAGTTTTTTGTAATTCTAACAATCCTGAAAATCAATATTTGTTGTGAGCACCTTTATTCTAAAACACAATGTGAGTTCTCTTGAGTTAAGCAGTTTTCAGGAATATTTCTCCAGGTTTGTTGAGGGACATCCCAAAACTTGCTTTTGGATGTTGGCGAACTGGGTTGACAACTTATAAAATAAGAGTATGTACAGAAAATTAATGAGCTTCTTTGGTTAAGTGACACTTGACTGGGAAATTATTGCCAACGACTGCTTATCCTGAGCCTCTTACCTTCTTATCAGTTGAATTTGGATTAAACTCTATTGTGATCATAGCAATCCCCAACCAGCAGCACTGCTGTTGACGCATGTTGGTCTTAAGAAAATGAAAATGGGAAGCCTAAAAACTAGATATGCCTAAGTTTTTTGCAGATAATTAATTCAAATCTGACTGTGCAACTTTTGTTTTTTACTAATTGTGCAATTAAATAAAATATTCTCATTAACCCTGTTTTTCTAGACTATTTCTAATCCTGCTTTAAGGTGTACATGAAAATGTACTCATACTTGAATTATAACAGACGATTAAGACAAACAAAATGTTATTGAAACTGCTTATTCATTGCCAGCTTCAGTATTTATGTCATAGTAACCCTAACCTTAAAAAGACAACTAGTTATCCAGTAATGAACAACATAAACAAGTGAAACAACATAAACTAAAGCAGAACTGGAGAGTTTTCAAGTGTTCCAGGCCAAGGGCTAATGATGCAAATCTTTGAGACAAAAAATAAAAGTTATGACCTTACCCCATCCATGGATAAATCTTCTACATGTAAATCTAGTAAACACATGACTTGCTAGCCTGAAATATGTCCAATAAAAACAAAAAAACAAAGGTAAACCAGCAGGCAAAACAAAAGGCAAAAAATGCCCTCCTTGCAAAAGGGGTTTTACTTACAAATCCAAACTGTAAAGCACAACGACGCCATTCATAACCAGTCAGGAGCGATTCTCAGCTACTCTGCTTTACCTCCACCGCAGCGAGAGCCAGTTCCAGCCCGTCAGATCAACCTCTTGCCTTGTTTGACTGCACCACACCCTGCATGTAAGCTTAGAGAAGTCACTCTTCTAAAGATGATGTTCCGTTTTGGCCTGTCTAAACCAAACAACACGAGCGCCAGAGGAGCCACCTTGCTCCCTTGCTCTCTATTCTTAGCCATTTCCGTTAATAATACCCAGAGTATTGTCTGTGGGGGCCTTGAGAAGCACCTCCCTCGGCCTTCAGGAGAAGATCCTGTTTACCTTACAGATGCTTCTGTCTCCTACCAGTGTCTCTCTGGAATAGTCTGCCTTCACCTTTTGCACTCCCAAAACACACACACAATCGAGAGAACCGAGAGCTTGGCAGTGGTCTCAGACGCCACTTTGTAAGGAAACTGTAAAGTCAAGGAGTCCAGACGTCTGGTCTGATCCCCGGCCAAGCGAGCACACAGACGCTGGCCCCGGTTCTGAGGAACTTTTACGCACCTAACGACATGACAGACGGGGAAGTCTGGATGGGGAGATGATGATGTAGCGGCACCAGGTCCACCCAGTGAGATAAAGAGGCCAGCTTGAAGGCGTTATCTGTGCTCCAGCCCCGGTGATGTCCCCGGTGGACCAGCCACCCCCCGTGCAAGCAACGCTCTTCATGGAATATTGCCCTCTTCATCGCCAGGCAGCTGAACGAGAGATCTGAAAATGAGATTAAGGAGATGAGAACGTGGCTCGTGCTGACACTCGTAGCTTACCCGAATATGGCATGCTCCTATCGGGCAAATGCAGACAGCTATCTGCTGGCACAATTCCTTCTCACTAATTCTTTTCAATTTTACTCATTCTGTGGTCGTTAGAGGCACAGAGAACCCCAAATTTCGTTCAACAAAATGTTATAAATGGCAGCGAAATATGTCTTTGTCATCCTGCTAAATAAGCAAGTCAGCGACTCAACAGAAAGTTAAAGCCGGGGTACTTTTTTTTGTCATCACCCCGTTAGATAATGAGTTACTCTAACTTTGGGGAAGCATGCTACTATCCGATTAAACAATCGTCGATAAGCCTAATTTAGGATAATTGTCGGCAACGAGCACAGACACAGGCATATTTAACTGTGAAAAGACGTTAGCAAACTATGCTATTGCGTCGTTAGCCGTTAGCCTAAAACAGCTCCGTGTTGACCACGGGCTCGCGTGAGCATCTGAAGTTTGTATTCAAGCTAACGCCGCACTTGGTGAAATTAACACGAGCGTCAAGGAGAAATAAAGCTAACGGCCTTGGACTTACTTCGTATGTTGTGCTGCGCTCAAACGAAGCATTGTTTTAATACCGGCGGCTGTTAACATTGTGTTTGCTCTTGCTAGCAGATAAGCTAACCGGCTAATGTTTTTTTCATCCCAGCTCTCTCGAGGGTGACTCTTTGTTTACATCACCCGGCCGAGCGGGGGCAGTGTGCTTTTTTTATTCAAAACGTAGAAGAAGACTCATTCCTCCAGTGCTTCACAGGAAGGGAGATGTACTTTTTGGATCAGTAGGGGTGTTATATACCTCTGAACTGCAATAAACAGATACTCTGAGTTGAAACCATGTTTCCGGGCTGCTCTCTACGGATCTCACGCTGTTCCCGGACCGTCCTGCGGCCACACTGGCTGACGAGGAATGGGCTCCCGGATCTCAAGGCTGTTACATGTTCAGCACACAGCTTCCACAAGAAGGACACCCTGAACAGCCCCGTGAACTACGCGGGGCTGGGAACAGAAAAGGGCCCACTTTCCCACGCCGGTAAAGCCATTTTAGCCAGGAGCTGCAGCACCAGTCCAGTCACACTGAACTGCTGGAACTGTCAGCAACTTATTGACAAAAGGCCGACATTCTTCTGCAACTCATGCAAAGCCATCCAACCCCCCCAGGAGGGGACATCCTTCTTCACAATTATGGACTGGTGAGTGCCACATCCTCCACCGCATCCCATCATGATGACCATGTCATATCATCATCCATACACACTTTGAAAAAAAAACAACATCCCGTTTCACTTTGTTTTGCCTCTTCTTTTTGTGTGTATGTGTGTCTGTGTGTGTGTGTGTGTGTGTGCAGTGACTACACGTTCACACTGGATGCACAAAAACTGCAGAGAAAATATCTGCAGCTCCAGCGGTCTCTGCATCCGGACAACTTCAGCCAGAAATCTGCGGTAGGAAAGGGGATGTGAGCCGGGACCGGCCTATAGTAAAAGGTCAAGGGTCAGAGGAGGCTTTTGGATCTATTTGCATTGTAAGAAGAAAAAAGAAATACAGTGCCTAACCCTTCTATCAATTCATAGCCAGGGAAGTTTAGATTTTTTTTCCATCTAGTATCTTTTGTTGTGTTTTGTCCCCTTGGAATATATAAAGTATCTTTAAGGAAAGAGAGCTACTTAGAAGATGAAAAGTTCTAAACTTCTTCTTCTTCTACTTTCCATTTCTCCGTTACATCACGATGACAATCACAATAGTTCTAAAGATTCTGGGCTTACGTGTGCAGCACATTTTGACCTAATTTTAAATGTTCAAAGGAAGACATGTGTTTAGGAGGGGAGTGTTTAGCAGCAGGCCTCTGTGACATCAGAAACTGCTTAACGCAGTGCCGCGTCAGCATATTTATAGTTGGAATGTGTAAAAACAGAGAGAGAACTCTTGATTTTTTTTTTCTTTTTCAAACGCACGACTGAGACGCGTCAGAGTGGGACTCCACAGGCACAGCCGCCGGAATTCCCCAAAGCGGGGTTCAGATCCAGCAGAACATGTGCAGGGGGAGTTCAGATTTGTCCCGGCTCGTTTGTTGTTGTTTTTTTCCCCCAATTAATTAAGCATCATCCGACTCTGAGGATCTTCATCATACATAAAGAGCTCATTACAGATACATGGGTAAAAGGCAACCGCTCGCTCTTGGCGATATCACAGAAAACGGCTTCACACGACAGGCTGGTGGGCCAGAACGCGGGGCTATTGATTTTCACCGGTAGCTGCGAAATGTTCCGAGATCTGTCAGCCGTTTCCGAGACATTTTTCCTCCCTGTCCTGAGTTCCGCCCGCCTGTCATGTCAGAGCCACGCCGCCAGAGAGTGGCTGTATGTCACCCGAGTAATTGCCGGCGTCAGGTTTTGACAGGGGGCCTGGATCAGGACGGCGAGATGTAAGAATACCTCGCAGGTTACCTATTAAAGACGCTGCGACGATACAAACTGGAACAATGCTTTATTTTAAGTGGCCTTCAATAATTAAGCTGACTTGTGTTTTGCAGAAAGAGCGCGAGTTTTCTGAAAGCCAATCAGCTCTGGTGAACAAAGCGTACAGGACCCTGCTAAAGCCTTTGAGTCGAGGTCTGTACATGGTAAGTCTCTTCCACTGTGCGTCCGACTGGGCCCGGCAATCAGGAGGGCGTTAAAAAGAGCGCCAGAGTTTTTTTTTTTTTTTTTTTCCAGCTGGAACTCGAGGGGATGCGCCTGGAAGAGGGCACCGACTCTGGAGCCGACCCGGGCTTTCTGATGGAGCTGATGGAGATCAATGAAGCCCTCGATGAGGCCCGGACTCCAGAAGAAGCCAATAAGATCGGCTCGGACGCAAAAGGTAAACGGCCGTCTAAATGTCGCCCTGCGTTAATGCCGATTATTGATCGCGAAGAAGCACAGAAAGCAACGGCATGTTTGGATCTCCATTTAAAGAAAATGTGACTGACTGGGCTGAGGAACATTTTAAGAAATCGTTGTCACTGCATCCACAAGGAAGAATACGTTTTAAAAGATTCTGAATAAAGAGTAAAACATCCTGCTCTCTTGCCAAGTAATTGTAATTATCATGGGATATGCTTATGTAAGAATCTTTTGCTTAGTGGCCCCTACAGCTTTCATAATGGTCGTAATTGTCTTCCAGGTTTAAAAATCTCACATGCACATGAAACGTTTGACTTCCTGTAAACCCTAACATTTGAACTGCTCCAAATCGAGCAGTGGGCCGTCGAGTTTCTTGGAATAAAAAGCAGCGTAGCGCATGTGCCGTGCCCTGTTCACACGTGCAGAACTGGAGCCTGTCTTCTCCGCCCCTGCAGGGAAACTGGCAGAACTGACGGAGCAGATAGATGCTGCCCTTCGCAAAGGTATCATGTTCAGGTGTCTCTCAGAAAAACATTGTGTATTCCGCCCACTCGTTCCTTTTTATTTGTTTTTTGTAACGTATGCTGTGGATTTCTTTTTAAGCCACCGAGTGAGTCACCGATTCAATATTCTGTTGCATCCCTTTCCATTTCTTACCAGGAGAGCTTCAGGCTGCCAAAGCACTTCTGGCCCAGATGAAATACTACGCAAACATTGAGGAGAAGGTGAAGCAAAAGCTGTCAGATTTCATGTGAAGTTCCCCCTTATTTCTTTCAAATTTGATGGCCTCTTTAAAACCCCTTGGACTCATGTACAATTTGCACATTTGTTGTATATATTTAAGTTGGGTTTATGAAATTTTATTATCCAGTTTTATTGTGTAACTGCTAAATAAAAATAAACTAAGCTTGTGATTTATGGTATTTTTCGGAAAATGGCTTTTTCTTTTCTCTCTCTCTCCCTCCAAAACTATATACATCCGAGGCTGTAATTTGGTAAATCCATTATCTTGCCAGGATTAAGCTAAATTTGCAAGCCTAATCACATTCACTTGTACCTAATGTGTCATTAATTGAGACGCGGATCTTGGCCGAGATTTAAATGCTACTTGGTGCGTTCATATGATTATCCTGCTTATCAGTTCAGCATTTTGTCATGTGGGACACACACACACACACACACACACACACACACACACACACACACACACACACACACACACACACACACACGCTCTCTCACACAGGCTCCCCCCTCAGTTCCTCAGGTTACCTTTAGGTGGAGACATAACACCTTGACAGTCCTGGAAAAAGCATTATATGTACAAACAGGATATGAGACCAGGCCAGAGGGAGGTCCTTAATTGAGATAGACAAGATATTGAATTATTAATTGTGGCATTCATATGTAGCATGAATGCCACGGTAATCAGGAGAACCCCGCTGAATTGAGATAACTGATCAAACATCTGTGATCTCCGTAATTCAAGATCTCTCGAACCGAATTGACCGATGCATCAAAATGTAACTTCATCCGTCCTCTCATCAACCCAATTTAATTTAAAACTTTTTTTTTTCTTCCAATAACCACTGAGAGAAGGTGTCATTATTTCTCTCTTGTACCAAGGCTTTGATCTAAGAAACAGATGGAGGAGCAACCACTCCGAAATGTGGAAAGAGTCCATCGATCTGATGAACTATCACATCAAACGTGATTTAAAAAAATCTCATTTAAGAAGTCTATCAACTCCTAAATAACACTGTTTCACAGTTTCATGTGGGCATTTCTATTCTGAGAGGTTGTTGGAATGTCCCACCTCAATACAGCCTGGCTGGTTGTTTATTAAGACTACAACAACAACGTCATATGTCCGAGAATGTTTTTCTTTTTTAAGCCCCGAAGAAGCTGTTACCTTAATACGCTTGGATAGACAGCGGATTAAACAGGGCCTCTCCCACCACAGGGCGACTAACGGACCTATTCATTATTCATGTCGTAATCAGAAGGCATCTACGGTGGCTTTAAATTAATGAGAAAATGTGATTGACCAACAGTGCGGCCAATGCTGTCGCCCAGAACTCTTTTAAATTGAGTTTGAAAGAGACGAAATAGGAAAAACTCACTACAGCCGAGCTGTGAAATTGACTTGGATGGGAAAGCTTGGCAATAGAACTCGGTGCATGTCACCACTATCCAGCTTCTGGAAATGCTTAGGTCAACATCAGGCAGACTAAACAAATAACAGCTGCTGCCGGAGAGTGGACCGACTAAGGTGAACTGGGACTGTTTGCGTGCTCTACACTGGTAGTCAATCACAATTAGTTTTTCACAGCTCTTTTAATTACAGCGGTCGCTGGGTGTTTTCATTAATCTACTACAAAGCCGCAATCTGAACTTCAGTTGTCTTTGCTTGAGAAAAAACAAAACTTTATTTAGCATTTCTTACGGAAATGGCGAACAAGCTCAGATTTTTAATCGCGCAGTATGTCGGTCAGTTGAGAACGCAATGATGACTCCGGTTCAAAAAAGGAATCGGCAGATTTGTCATGCTCGTCATAGAGTTTTAAAGGATTTACAATTGCCCACACAAAACTAGGGAGCTCACAATGATGCTACAGCAGCAATGGCCAAACATGTACCAGAAAAAGATCGGTGGTTATGTATGGACCCTGGGGGTCTAGCTGGTTTCATTTAGACTCCTACCTAAACATAACTGCAGACCAATCAACCTTCACGGCCATTGAGCATCTCAACACCAGTTCCTATAAAGAGCAGCCTTCTGCAGAAGGACGGCAATTAGCTTCACGACAACCGCTTAGGAAGGGCCAAAAAGCATGACAAAGAGCTCAAGTTTGTCTCAGAACAGGCTGATAAAATACGCTCACGTTCAGTCAGGTCATACGACTTTTGTATCTTGCTTTTGAATAGTAATTCCTCAGCCCGGACAGATCAACTACAGCTCCTGACACAGAAAGCTGTCATCACCCTGCCCCAGCAGGGGTCTTAAAGCCAAATCATTTAAATTCACCTTTTGCATATCCTAGAAGCTTCCTGTGGTAGCAGCTTAGGGCCGAGGTTTTCGGTGTTAACCACAGTCAGCAGTGGCAGCTGCAAAAGCGGTTTTTCCACGTGTTACTGAAGAATCAGTCAAGCCAGAATTAGAGGTGTTTCTGTCACTGGGAAGCTCTTTCTCAAAAAGCCAATAATTATGCCGAAAGCTTTTCTTAATCAAAAAGATTGTTGGTCTTCATTTGTAGCATTCTTACTATCAGGCTTTGCATAATCACAGTGACAGAACAATAACTAGGCTTTAACTAAGCTAGGTTAAAGATGGTTGGTATCTCTTTTTGCCATCTTTTGTTGGAGACATTGTTAAAAGAAGCACGAACCGCTGCACACGCTCCCAATGAATCACGCAGCTTCCCTAATTCCAATGCTAACATTGAGTAAAAACAACAATGGAGTTTTTCTCTGGAATTTATTCCAAACTTTCATACTTATGCATTCAGCAGAAGCTTTTATCCACAGTGACTCACAATGCAGATACATTGCAGTTAACATCAAAGCTAACGTTGGAAGGGAAATCACCAGTCAGCTTCTGTTAGAAGTAACACTAGTGACAGCGTAGAGACAGAGGGAAGTACAGAAAGAGTAGTAGAGGGGGTAGGGAGGTACAGGGTAAGAGTTAGGGTAGGAGATGCTCTGAGAAGATCTGTTTCTTGAAGACAGACGGGGAGGCCCTTGTTCTTGCAGCTCTTGGTAGGTTGTTCCACCCTCGAAGAGACTGGGTAGTCGTAAGCGTGGTATAGGCACTGCTAGACGCCAATCCTTTGATTATCTGACCCAGTTGTGACCCAAGCCTTTGCAAGAGTATTCAAGTAGATGGGGGCCGTACCCTCAAGCACTTTGCAGGCTGTTATCAGAGGTGAATATGATGCTTGTGGCTAAGGGTTTGCCGGTGGAGCACATTTTTTAAAGCTGATTTAAGAAGAAGTATTTCGGGTTTGGTATGGCCTGATCTTTCTTACGGTGAACCTACGGCAAACTGTAAAGTCCCATCTACGAAATCCATCACAAAAGTTCAAATGTTTCAAAGTACTTGAGGTGGAGAAATAAAAACAGTGGAGAGAAAAACTTGAAAATCTAGTTTTGAACACCTGCTTGGGATGACTCTGGACTTTGACCTGACTAACATACGACCGTACACATAATTGAAGATGTTATTTAGTAGTTAGCCATATCGGGAGTGGTTTATTGATCTGGTTGATTTTATTAGAGGGGTATGTGTAAGTGCTTCCTCTCTTAAAGCACTTCCTGCAGACCTTCTCTACATTGAATCTTACAAATTACAATGGAAAAAGTTTCAAGCTACTTCTTTAAAAATGTATATACGTTATTGTTGCAGTGACTGTCATACAAATCTGTCCTTATTGTTAATCTATCACAGTAATAAATACATAATGACCATTTTGTTCAATTTTTTTGACAAAACTCAGCTCCCTTTATAATATAGACAAAATATTGGATAACTCCAAACATACCTGGCCGGTGTTGTAACTGAGAACAATTTCCTCTGGTCTGCAGCCTCCAACATGACTAATAGTGCATGTAGTAATTTCAGAATTAATCATCTCCATATGACCTTAACATAAATATCATTACCAGATTAATGTGTTCTTATGACCCATGTCTTAATCATAATGTTCTCATAATCACATTAAGACAGGAATGTTGGTGGGCGACTGAAACACTTGCACTACACTTAACAGGAACACGCTGGAAACATTTTTCATTACAGAGTCTTGGGGTTGTAATGAATGACCAGAAAACAACAGGAATTCCATGTGGGTACTCAGCCACTGGTTCAAACTGTGGCCAGTTTGAAAATCCTCCTGACAAAGGTTAAAATCCAGAGGAGATGACTCACCGGAACGAAGATCTTTTCTCCTCACAGCCCGATGATTCTGCCTCCATCTGCATGACTCAGATGCTGAGTGTCAGTCCCAGCATCCCACAGCCACCTCGAGCCCGCCGTGGGTACTTGAGCTTCACCAGGTTGTAATGCCATTATAATCTACCACTATTAGGCTTTCTTCCCACCCTTAATCCATGCTTTGATTTTGTTTGCCTCATCTCCTCTCGAGGCACCATGTTTGCCTCCATGTAAAGCTCCCGAAGCTCATTTTAAAGCACAGCCGTTTAGAAAATGGGCTGTCTCAGTAACAGAGTCCATGCCCTTTCATTAGAGTTTATATCCAATGTTTAAATAGAGATTTTGGCCTGATATAATGTTAAGATTTATACGTAACCTTGACAAAATTGGAATATTTCCCCATATTCTTGCCGGCATGTCATGAACACTGCTATTCAGTCATTCTTTCGTTTTCTATCAGTTCATTAAAATGTTGCTTGTGACATGTTAAACGATCCAGACCGACACTGTTTTTCTCTTTGAATATGATTATAAGTCGCACTGGCAGTAAATGCCTCTGTTCTTGGCCGTGTGTCTGTGGAGAAAAAACCCTCAGAGGTGTGAGCGGGCCGTATGGCTTCGACACATGTCCTGCTGAGAGGTTTCCTGGGGAATTGCACCTCTCCTTCTGCAAAATGAGGCAAATGCATTCAGACACCGCTTAATGTGTTGCTTGTTTGGGAGGTTGTGGACACGTAGATGCACGGGTGTCTGTAAAGTCCTTTGACCTCTATGAAAGTTTACTCAGCCTGTTAAGCAACTTTGGAATAATTCCCTTATCAT